TGTCAAGTTTGACTGTAGGCATCGTTATGATGTCTCATGTCTTGAGCCTCCCAGAAAGCGGAGTTGGGTCTGTGGTCATGTGCAAGATGTCGGATCCTGCATCGAAGAAAGGCAGATCCCAGGGCCCTGCTGAGCAGAGGTCGTAAGTTTCTGTTTGAAGCTTCGAATGGGTAGTTACATGCAATACATGTAATGCTACAAGGAAAGTAGCTGCGGTTGCAGTCGTTTGCAACCTCAGTTCAAGTACCTGTCACCATACGTATAGTTAACTTTAACTACCCATGAAGCTTGAAAAGTTGGAGAGCTCCGTATGGAGTTCAAAGACTAAACGGAGCAGCGCTTGCCAAGAATAATCTGGAGCTTCGTCTCGCCTGGCAGTAATGTAGGAACGTGACGAAGAAACCCTGGCCCTATAACCCCAAAATATCAGGATTCATTAATATCAGGAACTCATCGGAACCCCAATAAAGACCCAAGGTTACTTTATCAGGTTCCCACCTTATTCCAGGTTTGAGACTCGAACCTGGCTCCAAGCCCCCCGTCCCGAGAGTCCCAGAGCCTCAACCTTGCTTAAAGGATCACGAGGCTGCGGAATGAAACCACTGTAATCCTTCATAGCTTATCCATAACCTACTTGCTGGGCCCCCCCTGCGCCATGAAGTACCAGAGTTGTATAGCTTGCGGTTGAGGGCGGGAAAGGGTATCAGCTGTAGTGTGGATGTGCAGCTGCTGGAAGAGAATCCGCGGGCTGTTCAGGTAGTTAGATAGTCGGAAAAAGCCTAAACCCCAAACTCTCCATTCTATCTGGCAGGGCGGAAAAGGGCCGAACAACAAAAACACGCCTAAACGGAAGCCTCAAGCCAGGACTTTGCCAGCACCACTTTGACGCAGAATCTCAAAGGCCCCGGCCTTTTTCCTCTTGCTTGCAGACAGTGTGACAGAACTAGTAGCAAAGGAAGGCGGACTGCACATTCTTGCTGTCTCTCAATGACCATAGGCCCTGTCTCAATTTCTCACCATTGAAGGACGCATGCTGATGCAGAAGCGAGGTCAGTAGATATCCAGGATATCCATCACCTTGGAACCTTTTGTCGCCAGGGTGGGGGGCGTTTGCATACTGAATAATGGAATCCCTGTTGCTGCAGACGGCAGGCGGGAAGTACGACAAGAAGGATTTCTCAGGCTGCGTTGCCAACTTTCTGGACCTCCTGCCATCTCGCATTCAGCGCTCGGGTTTGCGGTCTGCGTAAGACCCGCTTCAGCGTGCACCGTCTTAGCGGAGGACTTTAGCTCTGGAACCTACCGGGGCTGCCGCTTCTACAAGGCCGGGGGGGAGGCTTAGGCCCGGCTTAAGGAAAGCCCAAAGTTGCAGGTTTAGGGTTTAGGGTGTCGAAAAGCAACCACAACATCTGTGGGCACCGCTCTTCCCTTTTCCTCCACAACAAAAGTTCTTTGCGCCGCACCCATGTGACAAGCAGGCAGCAGGCAGCAAAAGACATGACACGATCTCATCGCATGTGCTTGAGAGGCGGATTTGGGAGGCTCTGACTTCACCAAGGCCGCTGCTGCCGGGCCACTTCGATATAGACGTGGCAAGCAGGTATAAGTAGGGAAAGCCCGGCTAAAGCCAGATTCAGATGTCCCAAGATCCTTCATGTCTTTGGATGTTGCGGTCGAGAGTTTGCGAAGGTGGTAGGGCCTTCACCTGGCGAAGTTGCAAGTCATCAGTTTTGGAAGTTGCAGCTAACAGATCAGAGCTGTGCTCAGCAGGCAGACATGACGGGTGCGGGCCTGGAGATGGCGAACCTCGACGACGTGATCCTCGAGGGAGCTCCCTGTCAGCTACACTCGAAACTCCTTGTGTGCCCATGGAGGGGGCGAGGGGTAGCAGACATGGTGTGCAAGCCAGGGATATAACCCAGCTCGCGTCCATCAGTTTGTGGCTGGATTCTGCTGTATGTCTATGCTCTCTGACAGGCGAGCTGGATTCTGGGTCCGGGCGGCCATCTACAGAGAAATCTCACAGATCGGCACCCATCTAACTCCCGCAGGCTGCCAAAATAGGCTAAAGGACAGCAGCATGGAAGCACAAGAACTGTTCTCCGCGCAGCCTCAAGCCTTGGGTGACCCTACCTAAACCGTGGAGCATAAACCCAAAGCTCTAAACCCTAGTCATCGTTGGACCAGTATCGCCGTAGACCTTGCCAGGCTTGTCCGAGTGTGAGTGTCAAAAAACCCTAATCATGGACACCATACAAGAGCTACAGCAGAATGCTCCGAAGCCGGGAGGCAAGATGTTCCGAGGTCACCAGGATCGGAGCCCCTTTTGCTTCCAGTGTTAGACCAAGGCAAACCTTGAAGGTGCTTACTTCAGCGAGTCCATCCTGAAGGTCAAGAGCCTGAAGGTGCGGTGGATTCATGCTTGGATCTCTCACATTTTAGAGTTTCGGAGATCAAAAGATTGGTGGGATCGCGATTCGTGGGTTTTATCGGGCGTGGGTTTTATCGGGCTAGATTAGATCGAGTTAGAAGGATCACCTTACTTAGTAACTTGCTCGCTCCACTTACATGCACAGTTGCAAGTTGCATTTTGTTTGTATGCAGGAGCCGGATGCACTGTATCCACAATCTTGTCACAGCTCCTGCATGAAAGTCTTGGCAGTGCTTGCCCCTCTGCAAAGCTCACAGAGGGCTCCGGCTTTCCTGTGATGGGTGCGAGTCCTGCAGGACGCGGTGCTCACCGATGCGATGATCCCACCAAAGGCAGCCTGCCCTTGGCATCGCAAGCAATGCCATTGTTGGTCCGAAGACCATTCGTCCGGATTCCTAGTCCTAGATTCTAGACCTAAACGCCCACACCACAAAGCCCGTTGGCCCCCAGTTTTGAGAGGCCGAAAGAGACGCGTTAAAGCAACAAGCGAGAAGTTCGTTTGGAGGTCCTGGACCAGCTCTGCAGCCGGCCAGACGTGTCACTTAGCGAATAGTACGGTTCAGGGACATTGATGCTTCTTGTGGTCAGAGGTGTTTCCACCTTCCACCTTCTGGCGTTTGAACTTTTGGGGGCTTCTTGCTGTTCTTGCGGATATTGGTGGTTCGAAGTGCCCTGAGTACATATCGCTGGGTGCGGGGCGAGATGTGTGCACGCTGCACAATAAGTGTACCAAGTGTCAATTGGGGGGCGAGCACACGGAAGCAAAGTTGTGATGTTCCGGATGACCAAAGAGTATCTTGTGGCATGTTCTAGTTCTAGTACATAATGCTATATGAGAAAGTGTTTTGCATATTAGGCGATTGGACACAGAACACCCCCGACCCACGGCTGTAGATCGAAGCCACCGCACCTTACAACAGCCCCTGCGGAGGCAAGGAAGTGCGGTCACCAAGGAGTCGATCGGATGCCCTTGACCGCCAAGGACGACAGGGAAATAATCTCGAAAGCAAAGTAGTTTGGAGAAGTCTGGTATACGGTGGGGCGAACTTAAGGTCCAGCGGTCCAGCGCAGCATTGACATAGACAGCAAATCCTTGTGGCCTTCGGATGGGAATGCTCTTCGGCTCTGATTCGTAGCAGGGGACACGATCACTTCGGCTTTCAAGAGCTGACCTGATGCAAACATGACGGCCTTGACGGGGTTTTGGGAGTCTGTAATAGAGTCTTGTGAAAAAGGGATGGCGGATGCAAGTGCAGTAAAGCTTTGCCCGAAGTCTGCGCAATGAGCACCTAATTTGCCCGCTTGAGGAGTTGATCGGCCTGAGCGCATCATGCCTGGTGAGTGCGGACGACCTCCAGAAAGTTCAGTAGTTGCACTTGCGGTGCACGACCTAGAACCTAGAATCGTTGGGACATCTAGGCGAGTTGAATTGCACCTGCTCACCAAATATAGTGAGAACACAACCCAGTACAGACTGACTAGCTAATTCACCACACTTGTGCCCAGACATAAGCTGCCTAAAGCCACGGCGCAGAAGCTCGCCCTATACATGTTATTCGAGTTCGGCATTAGTGTCGAAGACCGTCACCACACAGTTCCAGTGCTCCCAGTCCGGTGCTGCCGTATCAAGTACTACAGGAATGTGCGTATTTGGCCAGCTAAACCCTAGGCCCTGAACCCTAAACCCTAAACTGGTGGAGGGACCTGGAAGGCGGACAGGCATGTGAGACTTGAACGAGCTTCCTTTTGAATGTTGCTCCAGATCTCTTCGAATGGATCCGCACGGCCAAGCGGGGCCCACATAGCTCCCTACACACGTAGGGCTTGTTAGGAGGGGTTGTTAAGTGAAGGGGAGTCTTACTACGTGGGTGCTCTTGCCACCGAAATGTTGGAAGAAGATTTGCCTGTCTGCCGGGCACACTGGTGCAGCAGTCAACATGCATCGGGCCTCATAGTAGAGACCCTCAATGCCGAAAGCCCTAAACCTGCTTAAGGTTCAGGGCCCCTGAACCCTAAACCCCCTCAACAAAACTAAACCCCAAACCCTAAACCGCCAAAAAAACTATACCCAACCTAAGACCCACCCTTCAGCACGGGAGGAGAGGCCCTGCGAAGCCGTCGGCAAAAGCTCGCAACTTTGCTCCGGAAAAGAAAGCACAAAGACGCGTCATCTAGAGTAATTTGTAGGATTTGCGGCTTAGGTTTAGGGCTTAAAGTCTAAACCCTAAGATCGGAACCTATGAAGTTATGCCTGCCTGCGCGCGAGTGCGTGAGTCGAAGCCACAGTGGAAAACAACTCCTGGATGTTTGGCTGTGCTCAGTAAGTAGTTATCCTGTGGGTTGGGCACTTCAGACCTTCGCAAAAGCCCGTCAACCCGCAGCGGACGAATCCCTATCATGTCATGATGGTATATCACATTACCGTATATATTACGGTATAACCCTAAAACCTCGGACACTTATTGCCATGCCTGCTTTGCGAGTGTGTGAGTCGAAAACCCTGAACCCTAAAGGCTGTGGTCTATAGCATATAGAACAGCTCAGCTTGCTGGCTCTCATCTTGAGCCAGGTCGGCGAGCTCAAGGAGCGTGACCAGTCCTACTTGCCGGAGCAGCGCGGAGCTGAGTTCACAAGTTGTAGGTACTTGGAGGATCATGGGACTTAGTAAGTATGGTTATAAGTCCTGTAATTGGGGTTATAAGTATAGTTTCCTTAGTCATAACCCTACTTACTAAGTCCCATGATCCTTTAAGTAGTATTAGGGAGACCCCTCAAAAAGGGGACCCTACTGAACCCTACTTATGGCTCTCTTAACAGGGACCTTACTGAGAGGGTCTACGTCCCCAACCTAATCCAATAAGGACCCGTAAGGATGCCTGTAAGGCAATTCTACGGGTTGAGCTTAGTTCCTAAAGATATGGACCCTTATAAGGGGGCCTTTCAGAGAGTTATAAGGGTTCTATGAGGGTTTCTTGAGGGGGCTTGGGGCAGGGGGCCTTCATAGCCCCAATAGAGACCTGATAGGACAGATCCTTATGGTGCTCATGTCGGGGCCTAAATCATTACCAATACTATTTTGGGGGTTCCTTACTAGAATTATAGTATAATGGGCCCCGAAACCCTATTCTAATTCTTAAGGCCCCTATATTACCGGGATCATGGTGCAACGTCCTGTCTTTCATTGGTCCTGAGCGATCTTATACATCAAGTTGATTTCGTGCCCAGAAGCACAAGAACGTGCAGAACCCCCCTTACAAGCAAAGCTGATTGCAAATTCACGAGAAGCATCCAGCTTTCGAGCTTTTCTGGCCTGAGCTTGGGATAGTTGCCCCTCGGGGGCGCAGGTACTTCCTGGTCAAGAAGTTGCCGGTGTGGCGACACATAGAAGTCAAGTGGAACTGCGAGGCCAGCAAAACCTGATCTCGAACAGAGTATCTGCTTTGATTGAAGCCTAGATCTTTTCCTCAGAAGCCGCAATTGAGGTCCTGATTCATGTTGGACGATGCATGGTGTAGCTGTAGCTGTCAACATGTGAAGACAGCAGCTCCATAAGAACACCTGTGCCAGGCGGGGCAGCACAGGTCAGGTGTAGAAATGAAGTGATGTGTACCCATCTTCGATGCCATTACTGCTGTCCTGCAGCCGAAACCAACCTGCAAGGCAGCTCAAGAGAGGCACTAGGGGCTGTTCCACTCGTGCTCTCGAAGTCGTGGCATTGATCCAGTCTGGTAGCCGGTGTCAAGTTCACAGTTTAGTCGAAAGTGAAATGGTTATGGCCCGTTTTGGATTTACGGAAACTTCTGCTGGCAGGTGAACCCCTTGCGCCACATGGACACGCCGCTGGGATTCTGTTATTGTGAACACTTCGGGTCGTCTGCCGAGTAGTCTTCGCATCAAGGGATTCTTGGGTTTGCTCTCGCTCCGGCTCCGGCCAGTGGCGTCCAGGCTGTCAGGAGAAGCAAGAGATCCTGGTCAAGCATCGACTCGAAGGTTGTGGCATTGAACGTATATACAAGATCTATTTTACTTGGTATAACAGCATAAAACCCTAGAAGTTAGAGGAATGAGTGGGCACTTGGGAGGATTCGAAAAGAGAGGATTTTCCCGCCGCTGCTGCCAAGCCGAGCCCTCCCTCTGCTTCCATCCCTGTGAGCTTATCAGCGAAGGGGACATCTCAAACATCTAGATTGTAGATAACTAGGTGGCAATTTGGGAAACTTTAAAATTTCCCTTATGGTCTCTGTAGAGGTGCCTAGTCATAAATACTTTTCAGGACCCCAAAACTACAACGTAGATAAGTCTGCAGGTATGCTGCAGTCGATCGGCTCAAAGTGGTGCTTTCAGAACACTAAACATCACTACAATTGCCAATCCATTTCTGGGCACCCATGATGCTGCAGAATGAGACCATTTAGGCACCAACATAAAGGGGGCATTATGTTGTTTTCGGTCGGTCCTAAACTCCCCGCAATCCTAAACCCCGAAACCCTTACACCTCCCAAAACCCCAAGCCCCGAAGCCCTAAACCCTTCTTTTGGGGCGGTTCCCTATCTAAGGCGCGGCAAGGGCCTCGTCACTGCGGACGAAGAGATGCCCAAAGATTGGCTGCAGCTGGGAGACAGCGAGGACATGTGTTGCCGCAGCTTGCTGTTGATATTGCGAAGGGGCAAAAGCTTGGCTGCAATTGCAATCAGCATATGTGGCCTTAAGCCCTAAACTCGAGCTTAGGCTGAGTTCTTTCAAAAGGCACAACTTGGCAGCCTTGCTAAGGCAGTTTTTCCCAATTGCCCCGGGGCCGCCAGAAAGACAGTGATAGTGCCGTATAGCAACACAGCGAAGATTGAATACACAGACGACCACATGATTCATCCGAAATAGTAACTGGTAGTCACAGTTCAGGGTTTAGGGCTCTGCGCCTGCACAGAGTTGGGTGAACACACAAGGCGTGATGCAAGCATCTGGCTGCAAGCCCAGTTGCAAAGAGGGTTTAGAGTTGGCCGAAGTCGTAGTAGTAGTCGTTCTTCTCTTGGGTAGTTCTCCTTTTTGTACGGGTGCCGTACTCTATTTAGGACCTAGACAGGGACCCGAATATAGAGAACTTTGCTTTTCTTTTGAAGACTGTGAGCCGATCAGGATGAACTTCGTGAGAAGGTGGCTATGCATGGCGCTCAGAGCTGGCACTGTGTAGCTCGGAGGTCATCAGAGCAGACCAAGTTGTGAAAGTGCTGGATTCGCCTAGATGTGAAGTCTTATTATGAGGAACCTTGACAGCTCATCCCTCGGCAGTTCTGACGGATATCTTTCGGTTCTACAGGCACTGTTGCAGCTTGGCCTCCTGATTCCGAGGTTCCACTTCAGCGGCAAGTGGCTCGAGCCGTGGCCATTGCCCCAGAATGTGCGCGACAAGACCCGGGGACCCTGGATCCAGCTCCCGCAAACAACCGAGCCCCACGCATCAAGTCCCTCGAACCCGACGCCCCAAACCCAATGCTGGGTTCTACTAGCTACTGCGAGGCACTAAACCCTAAAGCCTAAACCCTAAACCCTAAAGCCTTGCCTGCCTGTGCGAGAGTGGGAGTCGAAACCCTGAAGCAAGCGGGGCGATTGCCAGGTGGTTCTTGGACAAGCCTCCGCGGGAGGCCTTGGCATTCGCAAAGAAACAGTTCCAGAACCAAGATCCGCGTGGTCCGGGACTCAAATTTAGGGGTGAGAGGGAGTTTTGGTTTTTAGGGTTTCGGACCGGGGTTTAAGGTTTAAGACTCAGTTCTAACAGCCCCTAAACCCTAAAATCCCTAAACCCCACTTGCGGCTTTAGGACCGGCTTGGCTCCGGTCGGTTGAGGCTCACTTCCTTTGGAGCGGCGGATGAAATTCGGGGTTTGTAGGGCTTAGGGTTCTTAAAAGACGCCCAAGCTCGACGCGAAGCTTTGGTAATCTCATAAGCATACCGATGTTTCAAGAAAGGCCTTCTTTGTATCAGTAAGCCGGTAAAAGGAAATCTCAGCTGAGTGGGTGGTGCCAAAGATTTCTGTCGTGGGAACCGCTACAGCATCGAGTGTTGGAAACTTGATTGGCTTCTACAAATCGTTCTCAAGTCGGTGAAGTACACCAAGTTCTGGACATGATGGCAAGAGTCGAGACAAAATTCTAGAGAGTGCAAGAACTCCGTAGCCTTGACATGGGGCGCGGACGCCAATGCTCCAAAAGCCGAGGCATGATAGCTCTGTCAGTGGCGGAGTGGCTCTCTGCAGTGGAGGACCTCGTCATAGCATCTTCCGCATTTAGTCGAGGGTTCGGGGTGGTCGGGAGGCGGGGGCTTTGTATGGCAGAGGCTGTCATACCCAGAAAGATCACAGAAGAATATACTTTGGCCTGTTGCAGACAGCGCAAACCTTGCCGCGGAGCTCAAGGTGGTATCTGGGCATGTTCCCTGAAAGGTGACAGCGACTGAGGACATCTTCACGACGGCCGATTCCTCCTACAAAGGACCTTGAAATGCGAGTGCGACAATCCCTCCGAACAGTGATCCTCTACAGTAGCCTTCGCGATGCGATGTTCGCGAGTTGAGAAACAACTTCAGGAAAGTTTAGGTGGGTTCCGAACGGTGAAGCCGGAACCGTTCTAGCCGGGTCCGTCCGAGAGTGTTTTAGGGTCAGCTTGGCTCCGGTTGGTTGAGGCTCACTTAATTTGGAGCGGCTGATGAAATGCGGGTTGTTTTAGGGCCCAAGCTCGACGTGAAGCTCATAAGCATACCGATGTTTCACGAAAGGCCTTCTTTGTGTCAGTAAGCCGGCAAAAAGGAAATCTCAGCTGAGTGGGTGGTGCCAAAGATTTCTGCCGTGGCAACCGCTACAGCATCGAGTGTCTGAAGCTTGGCTGGCTTCTGCAAATTCGTTATCCAGTCGGTGGGTGTTGTTATGCTTATTCTCGTTGGTGTTGTTGTTGTTGTTGTTGTTGTTGTTGTTGTGGATGGTGTAGTTGTGGTTGTAGTTGTCGTAGTAGTCGTCGTCGTAGTAATTGTTGTTGTTGTTGTTGTTGCTGTTGCTGTTGCGGTTGTTGTAGTGGTGGCAGTGGTAGTGGCAGCAGCAGCAGCAGCAGCAGCAGCAGCAGCAGCAGCAGCAGCAATATTACGCAGTAGTACTCAGTATAGTAGTTGTAGTTGTAGCTGTACGTACTAGCTGCAGCAGGTGCAGCAGCAGCATCAGAAGCAGCAAGAGCAGGAGCAGGAGGAGCAGTAGAAGTAGCAGCAGGCACAGCAGCAGCAACAGAGTCAGGAGCAGGAGCAGGAGTCGCTGTCGTCGTCGTCCTTGTAGTCGTAATAGTCGTAGTAGTTTGTGTCTGACATTACCAACAGCATCACTCAGGAAAGGAAACTATCATTGATGTAACAGAATTACATTATAACAGTTTGTCGAACAGTAGTAATAACCTAGCCCTAAGCCCTATTCGCCCTTCATCCCGAGTGCCGAGAAAAGGCCGCAACCCAACACCATAAACCCACAACTCCCAGGTCAGGTCCGGACCCAGGGCCCCAGGGCGTGATGTTCGGAGGGCCCCGTACTGGGACCTCGAAGTCCGCAGCGGCAAAGCCCGCGGCCTCTCACCGGAACCGGCAGCGCAGGCTCCTGGGGTCCTCATGTTCAAACCGTAGAGCCACTGAGGGTTTGCAGCCACGTCTAGCGTTTCATCAGGGCTTCGGGTTAATGTTTTTTTAGCCTCGCCCGGGCGCTGAGCCCCAAGATCCGGTATTGAGGTATTAATGGCTAGACCAGGCTGCTGGACAACGAGGCCTGCTGCAAAAAGGTACCGCGATGAAGGCTCAGATCACGAGAGAAAAAGGACGAGCAAGGACGTTGAGAGGCTGTCGGAAGCTTTAGATTTGCAGTATGAGCTGGGGCGGACAGGCTTGCATCACGGATGCACTGTTTGACTTCGTGGCCTTGACAGGCTCAAACTTCAGAGCCATTGCACCGGATTTTTGAGACTGAGCAAGGGCGGAGGCAGGCTCTGATCAAGAGCATCAAAAGGCCCCAATCACGGAAGCATCTGACCTTGAGTATGAGCAGGGCATTGAAAGGCTCAAATCACGGAAGCGCATGTGCTGAGTATGAGCAAGGACATTAGACGCTCAGATCACGGAAGCTATTCAAGGGATTCCGAGTATGAACAAGGAGGTTGGCAGCATCAAATCCTGGATTGAGTATGAGCAGGGACAGGCTCAGATCAGAGCACGGAGGCAACTGATTTCGAGTATGAGCAAGGACGCTGAATACGTCAGATCACGGAAGCACCTGCGTGGAGAATGAGCAAGGACGGTTACACGCTCAAATCACGGAAGCAACTGATTTCGAGTATGAACAAGGACGGTGGAACGCTGAAGTCACGGAAGCCATTGATTTCGAGTATGAGCAAGGACGTTGACAGCGTCAAATCTCGGAAGCACCTGCATGGAGTATGAGCAAGGGTTTTTTCGTGTTCTTGCATGCACTCTAGCTTTCCCTGGAAGGAGATGGAGACCAGCGACATCTTCGGAGAGCAGGAAGAGCCATGCAGAGTCTCAGCCTTGTAGCACATGATTGGGTCGTTTGATTAGATGGCAACCCTGTGGTACATAAAGCCCTGCATGCCCTGCCAGTCAGCCTTTCAGCTCAATGCGTCTGTCAGCTAGCATCGCCATCCTCGGCACATGTTAGGCACCTGAGTCGTGCTGAACACCACCAAGGGCTACGCTCCGCTGCATCTAGCAGCCGCAAAGTGCACTTGCCAATGTGGCTTCGATTTCGTCTCGATGCTGCCTGCGCATGGTGCGCAGAAAGACATCAAGACTTCCAAAGGACAGACAGCGTTTCAAGGCGCGAGACAAAAACCTGGGATGTGGCCCGAGCCGGGAAGTTCTCATGCCTCTGTCGAAGGCGGGTGGCGAGTTGGTGTGCTCAGGCAAGTGCAAAGGTGCACAGCACGCAGGCCGTTGCACGCAGCAGAAAGCGCTCCACATGTCCTTGCAAGCCTTGGCCAAGCCACCTTTCAAGCCACAGGCAGGTGTCGGATGTGTCGTCGCTGGCTTCTCTATCCTTCAGCGAGTGGAGCGGGTGGCCAAGCCGGCGGCTATCCTCATAGCCGAGCCCGTGCCGCGGGCACCTGCAAGGCCTCCCAAAGCCCAGACTTCGGAAGTCGACGTTCTGAGCAGATCGGGTGCAAGCCGTGCACTTGGCTCTCCCCAAGAAGGCACCGGATCCCCTGATCGGAGCTTTTCTGCTCCCGGAGGCATTTCGACATGTTTTCAGGATCCTTTTCCCGTGCTTTGGGACATTTAGCCTCTAAGGCTAAGTTCAATGTAGCCTCTAAGTTAAGGCTAAGGATCCTTGGGGAGCCGGTCGAAATAGGAACTCAAGTAGCCACCCACAGACATGGCTTAACTGTTAGGGGTTTAAGGGTGAAGGGCGAATGCTCAAACTCCAAATTCACGAGGGTGCCCACAACCACTCCCACGAAACAAACCGGCCCAAGCTCGAAGGAGGAGGACTATGTCGCCCAGCATGACGCCGATGCCGCACAGCGACACGAGAGTTGGCAATCTCTTCGGGCACCAAGTTCCCCGTGTGCCAAGCAAAGCATTTCGCAATTGGCCTCTCGTCTCGGACATCTTCTTCTACAAATCTGGCATACTGTACAGGACTGTACTATGATATTAATCTTTCAAGCAGTCGACCCGGCCGGTAACGACGGGCACTCTCAGATGCTTGCTGGGCTCACTCGGGTGTGAGCTTATTGCATCAGCTGTGCAATGTGCGGCTTCAACTCGACGTGTTCGCCGGTAGATGTTACAGGCGTAAGATACTGCAAACCTGTGTTTCATGCATCTTGGGGGCGACGAGGAGGTTGAGTTTTGCTTGCGAGAAGAGGGATGCATATCAAAATGCAGCCCGTCTTGTCAACCGGACATGACAGTTGGCCCACATAACTGATGAGACCATTTGGAAGAGTCCTGTCACAGACGAGGAGATCATCGTCAAATGCTCAAGCCTTCCTTTCAGATCGATCATTGTCCATGTTCAACAATGCTGGTACGGAGACCACTACCACATCAAAGGCCGCGGCCCCTCCTGTTCTGCCTCTGAAATCTACTGCTGGGTGAAACGTCAGCCCTTGTTAAAACCCTTTAGTGCGAATTCCGAAGACTCTGAAACCCCAAATTCCGTGAATTGCTGAGCAGGGGCATATGCCTTGAACCTCGAAGACCCATGAACCCCAAGACCCTGACCGACAGGCGGCGAAGAGCTCAAAGTTCTCCGACACCAAGGGCGATCTTGAATTGGCCAAATTCGCGACGTTGCCCTATACGCTCTCCAACTTTCGTGATTCTGTTGGGAGAAGAAGATTGGCTAGCCATGGCACAATCCGACAGGAGAGGTGGGTCACAGCTGGCAAGCTTCGCATTGTGTGCGAAGCGGCCTTCCTGCACGGCAACTCCTCTTGCCCAGATTTGCCCCCGGACCTTTGGCGGCGGGTCGAAACTCCACCTTGACAAGAGGCTACTCTCCGCATGTCTCAAGCTGGGTCCTGGAACGTGCAGGAGATGCCATGAAATTAGGAGCGCAGGCTTTGTAACCGGTTTTATATACCCTCTTACAAGGGGTTTGGGAGGCCCACTTAGTAAAGAGTATTATTCTTTTTGGGTCCCCCATATGTTTATGGCAAACATGCAGCCAGCCAAAACTAAAACCCAAGTCTATTCATTCCGGCGGCTACATCAAGGGTTTATAGGCTCGTAGGATAGGAGTTCAACGTAGGCCGCAGATGAATGGGGTTCCGAAAGAACGCGTTTAGGGTGCGGTTAGGAGCTTAGGGTTTTTGGCTTGGGGCTTTGAGAGTTTTCGATATAGGAGTTTAGAAGTTTGGGGATTTAGTCATAGGAGTTTAGGGTTTAGGCTACACTTGAGGCCGTCATTCCTGCAGAGGCTCTCAAGCCTACGATATCCGGCAGAGACACGATGATCTCAGCGGTAAGCCGGGCCTACGGCCTTAGAGCGCAGCGTTTAGAGTTTCGTGCGGAGGTTGCAGCATCTCAAAAAACGAACCCCCAAACAGGTATCCTACTGTACTAGATCCTACTATTACTTGGGTCCAGATAGACTTGTTCTATCGTTCAAATTTCAGGGGCAAGATGATTACAACCAGCGAGTGCTCTCGACATGTGAGATTTCATGGTGCCGTGAGTGCTGTCCGTTTTGGGTTGCTGATGTAGCCTGGCTTCTCAAGTCCAAATCTGGTACAGCCCTCACTTCGAAGAAGTAGAAGAGCCAGAGCGGTTTAGGGTTTAGGAAAAGATTCATTGCCGAGAGCTAACAGAGAGAGCCAAGACATGTTTTCGAGCTCGTTGAAGAAATAGAATTACATGCAGGGCGGTCTGCCTTCCGTCAAGCATGTAGGCCGACAACCTCCGCTACAACATCGACTATCTGAAACTTGGCTGATGTTCGCAGGTGAAATGTTGAGTTCATGCACGCCGCAGGGTTGAGCACAGCACGGAAGTTACATGTCGGCTGGACTTCTGTAGACGGTGGAAACCACGAAGTTAGTGCCCGTTGGCCCAGGCCAGACCAATTGCACTACCTTGCCTATCACTGCCAAGTTGAAAGTCGGAGACAAGTGGCGGGAGAGAGCACACTCTGCGGGTGTAGACACCTTGTAAGATCATGGCAGGAGCATTGAGTAGAGATGCGTATTCCACCATCCACGGATGTCAAAAATTTTGCTTCCGCAGCGATGCATGAATGAGGAGCACCCAGGCCACTCGGGGGGATTGTTCACGGGACGCAAACGTACAAGGGGCAATGCATCACAGAGGGAGAAAGAAATGACGGAGCTTGAGCCGGCAGCAATGGACAGGCACATGATTTTGCCTCCCACGGGCAGCACCCCATTTTGGCATGCCTAACTTCGCCTTCACATGTGTACGGACCAGACGGGAAAAGACATCGCTTGAACAGTGCCCGATGACCCATCGAAGTTGCAGCTTTATTTGAAGTTTAAGGCGATTCAAAGCAGACCAGTGGTGGGCACCGGCCCTCAGATCATGCAACAGAAGCTTGTCATGTTCTCAGCGTCCTGCAACCGAATGCTATGGTGCGAAGTCCTGGAGAATATCGCAGTTTCAAAGGCGGCACGTGTGCGGCATGTGATCTCGTAAGAGTCCTTGGTCGACAAGCTTGACTTGAGATAGTACCATGACACAAGAGCGCTGTGACACGTAATATAGTGTAGTACAGTTTTACCAATACTAGATTTTAAGGTGTTTGTGTCCGATTGCCTTGGACTCTCTCGTCACGGAGTAGATATGAAACTGGAACTGACATCGCCTCTAGCGAACCCTAGTATTAGTAGTATCGGTATCAGCTCAGTGTTTGTAGGATTGTTAATTATCCTATTATTGTCAGTACTATTACAATTCGTAGCACTAGTATTGACACTATTAATACTCTTGTTGTTACTAGTCTAGTATTGATGTTATGAGTTCGACAACAGGGTCCCGAAACGACCAGCAAGCAAAGAATCCCCCGCTCCCTAGAAAAACGACTCGGTGACCTGCAGCCGCTGTGGGTGCAAGGCACTTCTTGATCTCTTGGTGAGTCGTGGGTTTAGGGTTTAGGGTTGACAAGATTCGGTTCTGGATGGGCTCTGAGGGTCGTAGGAGCTCCGGTGCTGTTATTCTGCAGCTGGGCCATCCATTGCATCTCTTCGGATCGTCAGTGATCGCTGAAGCATCGCCTTCGGTCCGCATGTCGCTTGGCAGAACGAGTGGTATGCGCAGTACAAAGACTACTGCGAGGACAGATGTGCCGAACCGGGGGGAACATAGTTGGGCAGAGGTTCAGATACTAAGCAGTTGGTAGTGTGGATCAGCCAATGCCGAAGCCTTTGCTGGAATGATTCTGTCCATGTGTAAACCCTGCAAGAGACACAATTTGTTTGCTTCTGCATAGGCGCGAGCTGAGGTTTGGAGGCTTAGGGCTTTTCGGGCTTCGAAGATGCCGTGGTCTTCTGTAGCTACCGCAGCATCGCGGCCACAAGCCTCAGGAGTGCGAAGTGAGGCGGGGGATGCCAGCAGCTCAGAGTGCGGCCTTTGGGTTTTGCAGCGAATGGGCCAATCCCTAGAGTCTACAGACTCGTGCACTATCCCGCCTAGGAGCCGGATCCAGAGCGGGCGAAGGCGGGCTTGTGAAAATTCGGCGTCGGGCTGTACTGACATGACAGCAAGAGAGCCCACGATGCCAGTTCTTCTTGCGACTCCCGGCATTCCACGAGCACTCCGAAGACGAGGCGGGCCATCACGTAGGAGCATTGGACCAGATCGTCCCCCAAACGGGTCGCACAATATCACACAACCTTGGTCGGCAAAGTTGCAAGACCTTGTGCACATGTGTTGTCAGGCCTTGTAGGGTTTTGCTGCCGCCGCTTCTGTGTTGCAGGACAACCACTCAGTACCCCCTTGCGTACTCCGAAGTCTCATACTATACTATTTCACCTTTTCTGCACCCTCGCCTGCCAGGTCGCCACTCGTTTTGTCAGGGCCCTTGAGGGTGCCAGCGAGGTGTGACGCTTGAGGCAACCAGCTGCCTTGAATCCCTTCCGGTCGAGCTGAAGCAGTGAGGAAAGGCCGGTGCCTGTGTCTTTCTGAAGCTATAACCTGCTGCAAAAGCAGCAGTGAATTTACTGTCATACTCTAAACTCTGTTTTATTATCTAACACCCGTTGATCTTATTCTTCACTTACAACTTTCTAACACCAACTAACAATACTCACAAGGCCCTGTAGCGCGCCGTCCTGGCCCGAGCGCGTGGACTTGGGATTTTTGTGGTGTCAGAGGGCAGCGAGGGCATAGAAAGTCGAAGTTGGGGATCTCCGAAACTGTGTTAAATTTGCATTATGGGAGTTAGGCTGCATCTTCAAGTTAAGTTAGATCACTGGCTGCCACTGGCTCGTCAATTTTCGAAGCTTCAACACTTTTGGTGCCTGCTGTTGAGGTGCCACCCAGGCGCCGATACCTGCCGCTTGCCCGGCGGCGCGACCCCCAGCCATCCCCAGACAGTTTTGTAAGGGTTTGATGGATGTAGGGGCCTAAATGATTCCCTATACTATTGTTGGGGGCTCTTTATTACAATTATGGTACAATGGGCCCCAAAACCCTAGTCTAATTATTAAGGCCCCTACAATATGCGGAGTCATTGTCAACAACGCGACAGAGGAGCATCCCGATGGTCATCATCAACATAAGCACCCATGCATTTCCATGAAGCCTTGCTGGAGACCGTGAAAAGCCAAGCGCGCACTGCAGGCCAGCGCAGCAAGCGCAAGAAACGCTCGAAAAGGTCTGGTCTCAGCTTCGTGTTGACAATCTCGTAGAGTAGTTCAGCCCGCGACAGCTCGAACCAGAGCGGACAGGCAGCCTTCTGCCAAAATCAAGCGTGGCCAACATCGCCTGGCACCTGCCTCAGATAGCGGCTTGCTAATTTGGAGTTCTGGTTCACGAGTTGCTCTGGTGGGATGGCATGGCTTGCACGAATCGGGACACCACGGGAAAAAGATGCCGCTCGTGCAGACGTTGATCTTCCCCGTGCCGTGGGGCTGCCACCTCCACCCCGACAATCGCAGCAGCTCGCAAACCTTGTGGAAGCGACGTCCGCAGGACGCGCGCTCACGGGGGGGCTTTGAATTTGAACGGCGAGACCACTTGTAGATACGAGGGTGGCTTGATGACCACGTACACTGGATGTTACCCCCTCGCTCTCTCGCCCCCTCTCGATAGGTCAAAAGACTTGATTTGCACACCTGTAGACATGAACCCTTGCGGAAGTCTCAGCCAACTCGAGGTGTCACATTCGAGAAGTCCGCAAGCACTGTCGCAGTGAGAGCGTGCGACCTAGAGCCGTCATACGAACAGCGCGGCTGATGCATCTGTCTTGCTTGTAGATGGGAAGTCCACTGTCGTGCCTAGACAGTCTCTACCACTTTGTGACATTACTGTTGCCCTCCAAGGTTTTCCACGCAAGCTTGGTCTGGGACCTAGATCCCAGCAGAAACTGCAGCCGCGCTGTTTCTTGTTGCTTGAATTGAGCTGTAGCAATGTGCAAGAATGTCCACTGGCTCTGTCTTGCTCACGCCACAGGTTTAAGCTTTGATCGGAAGACTTAAAGCAGACTGGAGATTTTGAAGATCAAGGGTTTCCGAGTAGTGCCTTCCACGGTTTGAGGCGCAGTGGATTTGGGGTTCCCAAGCTTCAGCCGTGAGCGCTAAAGGCGGACTGCTAGGGCCAAACTCAGACACCCAATCCGAAACCGGTGCTGCTGTGGAATCCTATTTAAAGTAATTGGGTTGTCGACACAGAAACCTCGCCTGGATTGTTTGAGCTGCAAAAGTTAAACACGCAACCGCATGCATGAAGTGCGAAGAACACTGTGCAAGGCGTCTTTACGAGAGCTGCACGGGATCTCACTCCGCAGCGGCGCTCAGCGCTGCCATTTCCCTTAGTGCTTCCGTAACACCTGCCGATCTGTGACGCTGGTGTTCTCACGTCGCCACTCGCAGGGGCCTCAAAGTGGCCATCTCACTGAACTCGCCAGTTCTGCGTCCTTGCCTCCTCTTCAATGTTGTATCGTGTAGGATCACCACGTTTTGAGTCAATCCGGCTTTGGGGCGTGTAGGCTCATGAGGACCCTTGCGTGTTTCGAGAGAATCATGCCAGTGGAACCCCTGGTACCATCAAGAGCAGTGATAGTGCTAATGCCAGCGGCTTCGCAGCGCAAAAGGCCTCCTTTACACCTAGCTTTGACCTAGACTGCACATTATGTCATTGATTCCCAGGCCACCTCCCAAAAGCTGAAGCTCTCAGTCGGTAAGCGTTTCCTGCAAATTAAGCTGTGCGGAATTGAAGCAGAACTGCCTGGGACAACAGCACCTGGCATCTGGTAGCGTTGCAGTTGGGGTGCCACGTCAAAGGCTGGCACAAGCAAATGACCCTGTCTTAACTTGGACATGTATTGCCATTTCTGGAGACTGAAACACAGTCTCGTATAGCAGAGCACGAGTCAGAATAACGATAAAGCCATGGCAGGAGCAATAACAATACCAGCAATCAGAGCAACAGTAACCACGGCATCAATCGTCACAAGAAGGAGTAGTGACCAATAGCAGCAATAACCACGATAACCATGATACTAGCAACAACGGTGACAGCCGTAAAGTACTGGGTCCCACCGACCCACAGAGACTCCACCCACAACACTCGGACCAGAGCCTCACCTCGGTGCGTTTCACGGCGACTTTCGGTGGAGAAGCACAACCGACCTCAGTGGTCGAAAGGGTTGTGGGTTTAGGGTTTTAGGGATCAAGTCCGGTTTCAAAAAGGGTTTTAGGGAGGAAAGGAAGGAAGGCAAAGGGGGGCGCCTCAGATTCTCCACAGAAGCTGAGCCCAGTACCATGAGAAGGTCAACCCTACGGTAGGGGAGACGAAATGGTAGTGGGCACTCTCCGAGATATAGAGTCCAAGCCAGTGATGGGACTCCATTGAAAATCCCTGCCAGCAAGACCGGTGCTACTTTTCAACAGGTCGAGTTTCTCAGCCTGCTTCCAATACTGAACTTGGTGATATAGGGGCCTTAATAATTTCCTATAGTTCCTCATTATAATCATAGTATTGTGGCCCCCAAAACCCTATTCTAATTATCAAGGCCCCTAATATTAGGTGGTGTAGATGGATGATCCTCCAATCTAGACGTACTTACCATGCCAGATCCTGCTAGGTGGTTTCAGAGCGTGGAGAGACACGCCCGACGGCAGCAGCAACTTTGCGAGGGCATGCACTTGGCTGCCTGTAGCGACTGACATAAGCTACTGTTATGTCTGCCCTTGCAGGAGTTGCAATCAAGCCGGACTTCGATTTGAACCCATCCTGGCTCACGAATCCTTGAGCAGGTGGCAACCAGGCAACACAACAGCAGGTTGATCATGAACGGCCACAGACTGTTGCGACCTGCGCAATATCGTATTATACTCTACGCAGTAGCTTGTGCCACAAGATGCTGGGCAAGGCGATGATGATTTCCTAGTTGAAGTCGCCGATGTTAAAAATAGGGATGCAAATGTTCAATGTTTGGATGATAGGAAGGTTTGCATGCCTTGCCCAAGCACAAACGGTGGTTTGAAACAATTGGAGAAACCGTCACCGAGTGGTGACCTGCGATGATGCTCTCTCTGGTGGTGACAGTAGCACCGTGCAGCCTTAGCTGAAGAATGTGCAGCAGATCCGAGCCACTGGCGGCGCCATTGCTGCCATCTTTGGTGAAACAGGAGTTTGGACCAGCACATCGACGGCTTACTGATTGTCAACGAGAGGTTAGTGGAGAGCGGTCCTTGTTGAGGGTCTTGTAGGTTAAGGACTAGCAACATGCCATGCCCATAGCGCCGCCCCTAACGCTGAGAGCGCGAAGAATCCCTTCCATCATACAACAGGACGATTGAAGCCTTTGGCAAAGAGGCCTAAAGCATGACTGGTGTCGTAGCACACGTCACGCTACAAATAGACCCTTGACTCATTTCGTGCACCGGCACTTCTTTGCGAGTGCATGGCTGGAAACGTTTGCCTGGGGCTTGGTTGGAACTGTACCGGCGCACCCGGCAAACCCGAAAATGATAAGCAGCTTGCTTACTCCTTTGTTACGGAGCTTGTACAGGTTTACAAGGAGAGCCAAGTCATTGGTTGGCAGCTGCAGTGAATCCGTCGAGATGCCCTGATCTTTCTGGTCCAGCACTTCGCTGTCCGATACACCCGATATCTGCGGAGCAGAGGCATTGGGCCAAGATGGCCCGGTTCTCCTCACACACAGCATATGAGAGACACAGGTGTGTACAGCAGCAGCCGAGAACAGCACGAGACCTTGACATGTTTCGCAGCGTAAATCGTGCCGAAGATGTCTTAGTTACTTGGCTGCCCTAGGCGTTCAAGGAAGCTGCAACAAACATGGTGAAATCTGTATGTGCATTGTGTGAAGAGGCTCTCTGCTGAATGCTTCTGCTTGAAGAGCTGGTAGCAGTTTTTGCGGCGCTCTTTGACGCAGTTTCTGTGACGAGCATCCACCAGTCAAGGATGACCTGCTTTGTGCAAACCCCGAGAAAGCCCACAGAAAGCATGCGCGGAACGCACCGTGCCAGTCATTTCCGTGATGCTGCGCAGGCTGCGAAAGCACAGGTCACTGGGCACGTCTTTCCCCGTGTGTTAGGAAAAGACCAATCAGAAGCTGATTGGTTTAGCTCCTTGCCCTTGTAGACCTCTGCTCGCCTCTGCCGTCATCGTCTGGCACAACTTCCCAAAACCCTCTTCGCTTCAACCTTGACGCCCCGGAAGCTACCAGTTAGCTTGGGCCGAAGGCTTTACTCAGAACCCGTAGGCTTGAAAAGCTCTATGCCCGAAAAACCCATACCCTAATTTCTTCTTACTCATGTCTTGTGTAAACCTATAACGTCGTACAAGTATGCCCGTGTTTCCTTGCTCCAAACCCTAACGAGAAACCCCATTTCCTAGTCGGTCGAGCAAGCGTGTCAAGTGACCAGTCAGCGGCCAGGGCGCTGCAAAAGCTTTATCCAGAGAGCTCTATACCCCTTAACGAAGGAATATTCTTGAAATCATAGGGGTCTGAATGCTGTGCTTTCAGGTATATACCTCAATTAAGGGGGTATGGGGCTCTTCGGGTGCTGCTCGGCAGCTTCAGCTCTGCAGGAGGAGAGAGAGGCACGAGAAGCTGCTTGAGGCAGGTGCTGGTAAAGAATGCTGTATTTTGGCTATCTTTGTTATACATATGTGTATATATATATATATATTTTTATATATATATATATATATTCTATATTCTATACCTTTTTGGGAACTTCGGCGGCGAGACAGCCCTAGTGTTTGAGCCTCAGGGCAGGAGACCAACTCGGTTCGCTGGCTTTACTAGGCGGCAGACCGAGCGACTACTTTCGACAGCCCTGAACCCGGCTCCCTTTGCAAGCTGCAGCAGGAGATACTCCCACAGTTAAGTTTCGCAAGTGAGCTAGGTGAAGCAAGGTAATATAGAAGCCTGAAGTATTACCAATATTATTCTGAGGGTCCCTTATTATAATTATAGTATGGTGGGCCCCAAAACCCTACCACTAGTTATTAAGGCCCCTACATTACTGGTACAGGAGATGCAGGGTTAGCAGAGGCAGCGGCTTATCTCCCGAGAGTCTGCAGTGATTCTTTTGACTGGGCATCGGTCCGTGGACAAGCAGAAACACATGCAAAGACGGGTTTACACAACTTTGAGGCTTTGAAAAGCAGCCTCAAATGCGACCGAGATGCCGCAGTCAGGCCAATGTTTAGCGTTCCAAGTTCGAGTGAGGATGAGGATGTGGGACTTCCTCTTCGTAACTCCTGTGAGACCCGTGCAGTGAGCGAGACCACCGCACTGAGTGCACGACTTACTCGCTGCAAGACGCATACGCGGATTCTCGCATGGCAGAGCTTGCGTTCATCAAAACAAGGCTGCACGGCGGGTTGTCCCGGGATTCGTGGTACCTTACGAATCGGCTAGTCTTTCATCATGTGGATTATTAGTCTGTACTTAAGAATGTGTCAGCGTGGCAGAAGGAGCATACTGTCAAACTGCTACACTGAGTGAGTCTTACGGCTATCCTTAGTTTCAGCCACAGTTGCCACGGGCTGCATGGAAGAGGCTTGTATTGAGCAGCAGCAGCGCGAATCTAGGCCCCAGGTGTAGATCTTGAAGCTCGATGTCCAAAAGCAATCGAAGGTTCCGATCGAAGCTTCTTGGCTCTTGCCGTTACTCTTCCTACTGACAGCGCTGAGCACCATGATCAGCCTGACCCTTGG